CGCTATATGACCTATAATGTGTCGGTGTGACATAAACCCCAATTCAATAAACAAAAACATCATTATCATTTTCACATATACATAAGTTATGTTTACAATTTCTACATAGTAATCTCTCTTGTGACAGGTACAAGTTGATTATCCTTCCTTTTCATCGGTTAAACCATTAAATTGCCATACGATGGACGGATGAGCATATGTTGTAAAAAAACCTTGTGCTTTAGAGTCAAGTTATCGCGGGTTGTATTTTTTTCATCAGCATTACTGAGATACAAATGTACTAGAATAGCGAGACCAGAAAATTACGGTCACGGTCACGATTACAGGAACTCATATACATGGAATTAAGTAAGGAAATATGTACACGCTCGCGCATGCACGCAGCAAGGCACCAACACACGTGCACACAGGCATACAATATCCTCAGCAGATTATGTGTCTTTCGGCATTTCCTTTGGTGTCTTACATGTGACGATACAACGATTTCCACTAATATTTTCAATTATGACATTCATTATTTAGCGACATTTCTTTTTTTTTCTTTTTTTCGCGCTGACGTCTTCGTTCGTCGCTAAAGTGTATGGGGTTTTGGGGACAACGTAATTTCTGAAAAGTAGATACTGCTTGAAAACAAAAGATAAAAAACTAACTAATACTTTTAGCAAATCAGAATATCTTTATTTTACAAATACCGTAGCCATTTCTATCACAGTTAAGATTACTTTCAAAGTTCGGGAAAACGTAATTTCTGAAATGCCAATGATGCTGGAAAACAAAAGAAAAGAAATTAAGTAATATTTTTAGCAAAATATCTTTATTTTATGAATTATAACGTATCCATTTCTATCACAGTTAAGCTAACTTTCAAAGGGTAAAACAATAAATTTTTAGCTAAACTGTACATCGGCCAAATATTATGTTAAGTAATTATTGTTTAATATTTATTTAGTGTTAAACAGAACCGCTTTCGTTTTACTTTCAAATGCATAATATTGTTTACATAGTGGACCAGGATTAATCTATATATAAGTTATTACATTCAAGTTTGTTAAACCAGTTTTATGTAAGTGTTGAATTAACTATATTGTGATTCGATAGTTACCTAGACCAGGAAGTAATTCGTTTTAGTTTTCCTTCCACGAAATCTGACAAATATAGATATAATAACATGCTTAAGGTTACAGACAAATATCGACATTAAAACTTATCAACTATTTAACTGTTAGACACGTTTAAACCGCGGTAAAAATCGTAGTCATGTCATCTCCTGTCAAATAACGCTTACTGAAACTTATCTGAAAATTAATGGTAGTACAAAGGCCGCATGATCGTTTAAGTGTTATATGTCTACTTTGCATAAAGATAAACTCAGTATATTCTTTTCAGTATCTTAAGGAGAAAGGTGCACTTTTTAAACAGATAATGAAGACGAAATTGTATTTAAAAATCCGCAAATAAACAAAATGTACTTGTACAGCAGTCCGGCGAGGCTAATAAGAATTTGACCTGACGAAATGTGCAATTATACAAAAACATTATCCGATGAAGTACAATATTTTCAAATTATAAAAATGGGTTTATAATTAACATATTGATTATATTATCAGTACCATTGTTTCAAAAACATTGTCTAATAGATTTCAACAATAACGACAGTAAAATAATGAAAGAAAAATGAAAAAGGCGACTATGTGTGTTTATTTTATTTTTGTTGTTGTTTTTTGTTGATTTTTTTGGTAAAAAATATATAAACAATTTTACAATATGTTTGTTATATCTATAGAAACCATAAACTTTTATTAAATAAAATAGATCTAAACAGCCAATATAATAGAAATGCATTGCTGGAAGAGAGAGTCGTAGTATTGAAAAACTGAAAGAAGAGGAGTTACATCGAATCCATTCGATTTTTTCCCATAGATAAGGTTAAAAAAGACAAATTTGATAATGCTTGTGTCAAAATTTCCATACACTAAGCTACTCTGTAATTGAACTTAAAATACTAGGACATTACATCTAAAATGAGTCTAGATGGTCTAGCTTGATTTATTTTGTAGCAAAATAAATTGGTTGTTTTTAATTGTCTACCAAAATGAATAAACAATTAACGAAAATAGGCACTAATAATGTAAAGACTAATACATGTATATGTGATAGAACGCGAGATGAATAAAACTATCAGACTGAGTAAAAGGTACTAAAATTTAAATAAATGCAAAACTACATATTAAGAAATAAAATGTTTGGCTAGATACTCATGATTGTTATATAAGATATACAATCTATTGTTTTTATAAAAGGCATTAAGTGACTTATAAGTATGAACGACCATATACATTATATATCGGACAAAAATATGTTACATCTATATAAGACATCCATTAACTAAACCAATGTATTGCTTTGATAGAAAAGGGTCTGCAGGTAAATTGTGTTGAAGGAGACAAATTGTTGTAAGACCCTGATATTCTTAAGTTGGTACCGTTTGGAGAATGTAAAGTATAAAGTATAATAAATGACATTCTTTCCAATATAAAATGATATAATGACCCATTTTTATCTGACCATTCATAATGTTCGAATTTAAATATTTAAGTATTGTTTTATTAATTATGTTCCAATTTATACTTCTATAAGAAATGAAAAACATACAATAGTGTGAATATATTGATGTTATGTCTTTTAAATATAACATCTCCTTTAAATGAATGATAATGCTCATATGCAATGCGTGTAGCTGGGGGACGGACAATTTCTCACTGCATAAAACAGTAAACTGCTCTAATATGGCCTGTCGAGTTTTCTCCCTTAGAAGCAAAAGTACAGTATCTTGTAAATCTGTTTTGAATGGCCTTCGTGTATTTTATGTTTGTATTTTACGTTTTATATACATATACTTATATGTATACATGTAAAAATGAGACTTCAATAAATATTAAATCAATGAATATTAATACTATATCACATGTGTTTAAATGCTTTTATCTAATCATTATAACAATACAATAAAAAAAAAGGTAATTATCAAAACACAGCATTAAAAGAGAAAGAGCAAAATAGTATCAAAACTCGAACTGTTTTCTCCAATCATTGCCATAAAAAAGTTTAAATTAGACATATACAATGTGCATACAATTTCATCAACAAAGCAAGATTACGTGTTCGGACATATTAAATAGCTATAAAACGCTGTTTAGTAATTTCACATCGTAGCAAATTATTAGGTTGTTAGTTTTATCATATCTGTAGACAAGTATACAAAGTGCACTGTATCTGAATTTGGTAAATATTCAACCATCTAGTTTTCTTTAAAAAAAAACAGTTAACGTTGTTTACACTTAAAAATGATTCCAATGATTGTTTTCTTTTCATAGTTTTTGCTTATAAGTAGCTATTTCTGTTTTGCATTTACTTATGTTATTTGGTTTTGTCTCTCTGTTATTTAATAAATATTCCCCCCTTAAAGTTTTTTTTTGGTTTTACATCGTAATACATCAATACAAGTTAAATTATCAAACTTGAAAAATATACATAAGAGTAAGCATATCAAAGATGAATATAAACTAGTCTAAAACTCGTTAAAAACTCCATTACTATTAAAAGTAATTAAGATGAATAAATTGTGTGATTTCTAAATGGTTACCAAAGCCCAAGCATAAGAATCACAGAAAATCGGTTTTATGGCAAGAGATAAAAAACTCGATACAAAAGTAGTAATTTCAAACATAAAACATTTAATATTTAAACCATAACCTATTACCGAACAATAATACTTTCCGAAATTAAAAAATAAGTAATGCGCTACTAATATTGAATTGTGGGTCAACAAATCGAAGCAATATACAATAAATGATTAATCTCACGGTAAACCGATAGGATATGCAAGCATAACTTCAATTAACTTAAGGGCAATTTATTAGATTGAAAAGGTAGATTTCTTGAAGAAAGTTCATAAGGGAGAGAACAATGCAGATTCCAAATTTGTTAATACTAACAAAAATAATAAAAATTGAAAAAATAGTACTTCTTATTAAGATTGTAGTTCAGTGATCTGTAAAGCTTCTATTTACGTTAACGTTACGCGTTTTCAACAAATGCATTTGTTATTTAAATTGAATCTTTTCAGATTTTAAAGATTTCATGCATTGAATCAGCTTCATTCAATATGAGTATTCTAATCTATTTAATCAAGTGCACCTAATAAACTTTACCGCTACTGCCCGATAGAGACACACAAACAAAATTGTATAAAAAATTACAAGTAGCGGTTATAGTAAATTAAGTCAAAATCAGATTGCCATCTTCAGACACTAAACATGGCGCTTTTCAATGTAAACTATATACTATGTTAGCCTTGTTCTATTCAAATATGATCATTATCATGAATCAGTTGTTAATACAAACAAATGGATAAGATAAGTAATAGAAGAACATAGTCTATAAAATACATAAACTAATACTTACTATATAATTATATATATAAGGAACGAAACATTGTTCTATATTATACAAAACTAACATAAACTTACAAACAGTGTGTTGATACATGCATGCTAAGAAATCAATATGAAACGAATCAACAAACATTTATAATTATATCAAAACGGACGACAAGCATGCTTAATGATGAAAAACCAAGACAAAATAAAAATTAAACAACAATAAAATCATAGTCTGAAAGCAACCAAGCATGTAACCAGCATATGCAATATATCATCTTTATATGAAAAGAAATTGATTAAAACGATATGCCATAAACTGTCCACCAATTATGTTTTTGATATTGATTCATAAAAGTGTGATTGTAATATCCTACTCAATAATAATAAGTGTAGAACATAAAATCGTCATACCTTATCAAAAAGTCATTGTCTGAAATATGTTAGTTTAATTTCAAGCATTTTGGTGGTAGTAATTGGTCTGAATACCAATACATAAAAAACTATAAGAATAATCTAACTTTGGCATGTACCGCCTTGCTAATATCTTTAGTCTGCGTGATCAATTTGACATACATGTAATTATTTGATTATACCTATTTTATATTATATATCAGTTCACGTGATCTCTGGTTATACGGTGTACTTAATTTTGAACATTTGAACATTAAAATATTGAAATATTGTTCGTTTGGCATGCTTTTCAGTTATTATAACTTAACTAAATCTTGAACATTCCAATATTGTTTGTTTAGCATATATTTCGTTTAGTACTTAAACTGTACTTTAATCAAAATTTACTTATTTTGAACATTTTAAAATTGTTTGTTGAGCATGAATTTCTCATGCTATGTTCTTTTCTTTGATTTGTTGATTCCTTGAGCTACACCTTTTGCCAAAATTGGACCACCTTCATGTAACAGCAAAGCAGGCCATACAACATATTCGACGTGTGTGCCACTATATGTGTACGGTTTGTATAAATCTGAGTTGAAGTGTGTACCCTTTGCAATCAAAGGAGCAAATGCAACAGGAGGATCATTTACCTATAATAAAATATATATTGACATGACTGAATAATGTTTCGAATCAAACCAGTTGCACCTATAAAAAGAGATTTCTTCCCAAATAGTTTATGATTGAATTATTTATCTCTTAATGTTATTCATAACGTGTTTAAACTAATACGTGTATTGCATTAATCATTATACAAATAAAAAGTCACGAAAATACAAACCATCATTAACCAGCACATTTCAAGGCATTCAAAGGTAAAATCCCTTTTTTTCAGAGCTCTTGAGCCGTTTATCCCCTGAAGCAAGAAGAAATAAAATTTAAACATAAAAAGTTTTTTTTGGGACATATTTAAAAAATTAAAATTTATAAAATTTCAAAAGGGAAAAAAGGCCCCAATGTTGGACAACAGGGAAAATGTTTTAAAAAACTTTCAATAAGATTCAATATAGTTTGTATTTATTTAAGGTAATGCAATTATAAGATACAAAATCATTAAATGTATACAATTTAGTTCTTTAGCCAAATACCATATTGCCAAAATAACGTTACTAATGTTAAGCGATTTCATTTCGTCTTTTCGTTTGACTTAACGTCTGTTTATTATAATTATTTCAAACTGTGTCTTTCTTTATGATAAACTTACCTTGCGCAAGTTTTCTACTGCTGATAACGCCGAGGCTTTTCTAGTATCTTTCAACTGTTTATACACACCGAGTGACAGATCAGCATTTGCCTGTTTAATACATACATAAAACAAGTGACGCACAAGGGTTATTTTTTTTTTTCATAATTTCATCATTTCAAAATTATGAACTTTTTTCAGTAAATATATGTGAAACCAAAACACTTTCGTTATCATTTTAGAATAATTCATTCTTATATATATTTATGTCATACCAATGTGTGCCAAAACAAAACAAATTCAGCATACATACATTTTTGTCTGCAAAAGTCAAAGTCCTCCCTAATTCGTCCATCTGGTACTGCGCCTTGTTTTGACAGAAGGTCATTGTTACCTGTATAATTTACGATACACACGGGTGATATAAAGGTATATTGGCAGCTAAGCTGTCTGCATGATTATGATATGTAGAACTTCATTACAGCTTTCACATTAAAGAATAAATTAATAATTCAAGAAGTGTCACGCTCAGAAAAGGCCAACAATAATATTACTAATAAAACATATTGTCCAACATGTATAAATATCATTTTTAAAGGCATGACATAAAATTAATTTGATGACATTCTTAAAGGTACAAATGTCAAAATACAATGATCTGAACTAAAATTATACTATTGTCGTGTGGTAAGAAAACGTTTCCCAGTACCTGTAAGATATGTAATAAAGCTTCGATTACAGCCTCATCATTTGGAAAATATGTTTCCAGAATTTCAAATGCATCCGTCCATTGATTATCATACAACTCTGCACATTTCTCAGCAAGTTTCGTTGGACGATTCCTGTCGCTTAGGTCGGTTATATTTGGATTGTTATCTGTCAAACGGTCCCCCATGGCTTTACTAAGTCTTAGAAATAGTAAACGGTTGAAAACAGTATCAATGTGTCAGTTTACATATAGGATTGTTATAAAGCAAAATGATATGTAAGTATTATCAATTTGTTATTTAATAAAAAAAGATATTTCAAAATTATACAAACAAGTGGTTTCTCTGAATTGATCAATTAAAGCAAAATAACATTTACCTAGTCTTAGTGTCATCCAGTTCAGCTTCAGTGTCATGTAGTTTTGACATTGTAAGTTTTAATTGTCTTTTCAGCTCCTTGATCTCATTTGTCACTGCAGCATCAATTTTGTGTTCTCCTCCAGGACGATTTTTTAATGATTCCTGTGCGATTTTTTTCTCCAGACTAATAATTTTAGAGTCGCGCTGTTCAACGTCTTTTTGGAGATTAAGTATAAATTTCTTTTTGGAATTGATGATGTTTTCGAGATTTTTCTGAGATTCATCTTGGTGATTTTGTATTTGTTGGAGCTGTGCATTAAGTGCATCTATTTTGGCATCTCTTTCCTTCACTTTCTTTCCTAAAGCTATTGCGTGTGATTCCATTTGACCTATTCTATCGTTGATTTCGACAACCATTTTGTCTTTCTTGGCAATTTCTTTCTCATAAAACTGTAATTTATTTTCAAACTCATTTTTTTCTGTCTGTAGAGTTTTTTCCATGTCTCGAACTTTTGACTCATTTTTATTAACCAGATTTGTGCATTGCTTTAATTTGTCATTTAACATAGATACGTGTTCTTCTTTATTCTTCTGATCTAATTTAAGTGACTTTTCGGTTTCTTTTAGATCGGAAATTGTTCGATTAGACAAAACCATTGTTTCATTCAGTTTAGATATATTTCTATCTTTCTCGGATAAAAGAATAGTGTGGCGTTCGTTTAGATCCTCAAGCTGTCTTTCTATATCGGTTTTGGTCTGGTTATTTTTCACAGCAACTCTTTCCAACTCCTGAATCTTCTTCTGCATCAAATTGACTTGTTCGTCAGATTCCTTAATTTTATTAAATATTTGATCACGTTCCGTCACCCGTTTATTTAGTTCGTCTTCTTTTTTCTTTAGTTCATTCTCTAACTCTTTATGTATTGTTTTAAGCTGACAGTGTTTATTCTGGATGCTTTTTAATTGTTCCTCTGATTCAATATATCTGTCTTTATAGTTCAGCAATTCTTGTACGTGAAGAATATGTTCTGTTTTTGCTGACTCTCCTTCAATAAGGTGATCATTTAAGCGAGACAATTGCACATCCATTTCTCTCAATTCCGTTCTTAGTTGTGTCAAATCATGCTGATAGTTTGATTCCTTTTCTTCGAAGTTAGTGCGATTTTCATTGATGTCCTCCTTAAGTTGTGATATATACATCTCGTTCTCCTTTAATCTATCTCTTAGATTATCACAATCTTTTGCAAGATCAGCATTCATCTTTTCTGTTGAATTAATCTTTTCATCTTTGTCTTGATATTTTTTTTGTATATTGTTTAAATTTTCCCGCAACTGTTGCAAAAGTATTTCATTTTGCTCGTTTGTTTTTTGTAGACAAATTTTATCGTCGGTTAGTTTGCTCAGCTCATGCTCTTTTTTGTTGAGCAAATCATGTAGTTCATTCAATTCTGCGTGTGTTTCAACGGGTTGTTTCATGTAGTTTACATGTTCACTTACGTTTTCTTTACTCATACTATAACTATTATTCATGGGGCAATGACTTGTGTCACACATGTTGGTGTCTTCATGGCTATTCATTTTGATATTTAGGCCGTAAATATTGCCTTGCAGATGATTTATTTTATTCTTTACAGAATATGCAACCGCTTTCAAGTCAGATTTATATCTTTTACAGTAATTTTCCTCATGTGTGGTCAAAGAAACTGTGTCTATCTTCAGAGATGATAAAACTGCATCCAATATCGCATCTGTTTCACAAAGTGTTTGAACTACTTCTTCCATTTCACCAAATAGTTCTTCCTTTTGCCTTTCTAATATTTGTTTTCCTTCTCTAATTTGACTTATTTCATGTTCTTTTTCTATCGAAAAATTATTTTTAATCTCCATGTCTTTTATTTTTTCACCAAGGTGATCTATCTCTGCACACAGGTCTATTATCTTTCTTTCGTTTGAAGTGATTACTTCATCTTTTTGCGTTATCAGTTTCATTTTTTCCTGAAGGTGTACTTTTAATTGATGCATTTTTCTTTCCTTTTCTTGAACCTCTCTTTCAAGTTTCAGCTCCATTGCAATTAATTTATCTTGATAATTCGTTGTCCTAATCTCCAAATCAGATATGTATGATTTTAAACGCGTGCGCTCTGTGGTATGAAATTGAATTTCTTTCTCTTTGGTTTGTGCAAGCTTTTCGATTTTTTTAATATGTCTATCCTCAAGAACAGAATTCTTTATTTCAAGTTGCTCGGCCATCTCATTTAGTCTTGTATTTTCTTCAACAATACTCTCATATTTCTTTTCATGCGTAAAATACTTATGCCTGACATCGAGTAATTCTAATTTTAAATCTTCTTTACTCTTTGAAACAATATGCAGCTGGAACTTGACGTTATCCAAATCATCCGTCATTTCTTTGAATTTTTGATAATGGCTTTCTTTCTGATAATGTGAATACATGTAACAACTATAATGTGTAATTTAACTTTATAATTTTAATGTATATTCAGTAACTATAGGTATTTAATTACAATTCGCGCAACATTAAACTGGCATGTTTTTTTGTTTTGTATATTAACCATATTACTGTAACCTTTAATAAAAAATTGTATGAGGACAGATGTAAATCATATTTTGATATACTATTTTTCTGTTTGAAAAAGAAAATCATTTTAAACACAAAAAATGAATCTGAAAATAATTTAATATTAATAAAACAATTAATAATTTGAATATTATTTGTGCCTCATCATGAAAAACAGAGATTACAATAGTCAAAAGGATAATAATTTGTAAACAAAATCTAACCTTTATCTTTTCTTTCTTCATTTCTTTATTTATATCTTCTGTCAGAAAGTCTATATCCGAAAAACAAGGATTCTTGTTTTTTTTAACATACACTAAAAGACGAGCTATAGCAAATGGCAGATTTGTCATCTTACATTCAGTGTCTATACTCGCCATTCTTTATCTATTTTCTGAACTCAAATCTAAAATGAAAGAATAATATCTAATGGTAAGATTTCTTTTTTGATATGAAACAAATAAAGCGTGAACGATACTCATCTTAGAAGTTATTTTCCGGAAACCTACACTGTATAACATACTGTCCACGAGAAGTGTAAGTCGCCATTGTCTTTAAGATAACAAATAATAATTGTTAAACCGTAATCTATTGTTAATCAATGTTAAACGAAAATAAAGATACCGTTTAAAGTCTTTTTAAGTGCTGAAAGGGACTTTTACATAAAATCCTGATATTTTGTTTAAATTAGATAAATTTATCATCGTACCACTGCATGAACGTTCAATATACGCCTATTCTGTTGACCAACTTAAATTTATAATTTGCTTACAGTTAAATCAATGTTGTTATGTAGGCATGTAAGACATTATTCTATCTTTTATTTTGGTATAATGGCATAAGTGACCAGGCAAAATTTCTATTAAAACAACGATACATATGAAACGACCATTTATAAATACAGATCCATTTTTGTCTTTTCGAAGTCCTATTTTCGATAATAATACTGTTTTTATTTTTATTTATTTATTTATTTGTGTCTATGTTGAGCCCAACAAAAAAGCTAAATGATATAATTATATTTATTACAGATTAAAAGCAGTATGACTCCAGATTCAGTATAATTTTTAAATAAAAATATATAAGAAAGTGAACAAAGGAAGTAAATACACGTTGTACTTACTTCAAATATCACACGCAAAAAAGAACTGGTTAATATGCGAAATAACCCCAATTGCGGTAGTCACATAGTAGGAACGTGGGGTGAAAAATTGACTATAAATTAGAAAAATGATAAGACCTACGCACATAATAGAAAAGAATACTATACTTCGTTTAATTTTGACAACCAAAATTGAATCAAGTATTGGAATAGCTCGAAAGCAACAATATGAACTAAATCTTAGATACTTTTATACCCACCCGGGCTTTGCAAAACAGTACTAACTAACTGCAGAACTTCTGTATGTCGCCTAAACATGCAATACACACACTCTCAACTTGTAAAACAATTACGCACGACTCGAGGTTTTTTTAAAGTAAAAAAAAATAAATCAAATTTCAACATATTTTCAGAAAACAAATACGTCTGTATATGGTATAGGACGTAGTCTTACTTAAATCGGTGTATGCTGGAAGTATAAACAAAACATTTCAAGTGTTTTTAAACATGGTGTACTACTTTTGTCTAAATAGCTTAACCACTCGTGTGATTATCAAACAGTGTTTAAAGTACATGAACACTTTTAGGAGTATTCTGCCCTAAATATATTTGCGTCGTCAATAAATAAGTTATCGTCTTCTTTCAGTTTTATTTTTTTTAAAGAAATTCTTCATAAGCTAATATTGAAATATATCTCTATATATATAATTTATATAATAAAAAAGTCAAGACGTTATAAAGTATAAAAGAACAGAACACAAATTATTTTAAATGTCCATATTGACGGTTGATTGATAAAGTCAATTATCTTAGCAACAAGATAACAAAAATATAGGTCATACGAAACATCTACTTTCGGTTTTGATTTTAGATTTACAAAGAGCTACACATATTGTTTAATAAAATCAGAAATAAAATACGTAAAATGATACGAAAATCATCAATATAATTTAATTCGTATTGCATTCTTGTTTCAAAAATTAAAACCAAGAGCGATTTAATATGTATACGCTGCATCAACAGTCAAATATTAACGTTAACAGATGCGTTTTATAAATAATATATTTAAAAATCCCTCAAAATATGAAATTGAACTTACCTGTAAAGAACAAGAACAGTACCTATCTCTGTTTAGCAAACTTTTCTCCATCGTGTGTTACTGTTTCTATGTGTTTAAACTCGTTTTGAATTTTATTGGCAGTTGATATACTTCCTTGTGCGGATAACAGTTCAGTGCGCACGCAATCGATAAACGCTTATAACCCACGAAATATATTCAACACATATCTCATTGAATATCTTATTGTGTGCAAAGTTTAAAGGTCGGTATACATAAATTGCCTACTAGATGCGGTCTGGTAATTATTTTTGACCGTTACATCTTTGTTTTCACCCAGATTCTTGTGTTTAATTATTTTCTAACAGACAAGTAATAGTTACCGTACGCATAGTATTTACAGACCCGGGTGGCGATTTAAAGACCGAGAAAGCGTAGCGATCGCGGTTTTTAAAAGGCCACCGGGTCTGTAAATACTATGCAGACATATTCTGAGTGCGGTAACTATCTTACCTACATGCTCTTTTGTTTTTCTATCCATATATCCGTTTTTTAAACCAGTATTCATTAAAATTACTCACAAGAAATATATTATTTATGTACTTTATCATGTTTAAGAAAGCATTCCAAAGTCATGCAAAGATACAATCCGCTGCGCTCTTGTAATTTATTCGTTAACAAATCAGGTGTTATTTGAATATTTTCGTGCTTTTCGTGGGGTTTTATTATGTAATAAGGTCAGGTAATGTACTTGTTGAGTTGACAGAACTTGTCGAGTAGGAAAGGTAAGATCATTATTTTGATATATGAATACATAACATAATAATAATTTATACAAATATTGAGGAAGATAAAAAAGTTTTCTAATCATAAAAACGAAACACTTTATCTTTATATGTAATAAATGTCATGGTAAATAGATGATCAGGCTATTTCTTATATAATTAAAATATACGATTTTTTTCAAAGAAAGTAAAAGTCAGGGTTCTATAAAAATATTAGTAAATATGCAGATATACCATCAAGTAAGTTGGAAATTTTGTTGTCGTTGTTGTTTTTTTATGATGGCTGATTTTATGATGAATTTCATAAATGTTTGGAAGAATTTTCTTTCGATGTATTCTTAATTAGCATCATCCGTTATTCATATGTTTGATAAGACCGCATGTAAGCACGATGTCTAGAATGGAAGCGCAAGTCGTATTCTTGCAAAGAACAGGCGAGTGCTGGTATACAAAATCCAAATTATAATGTAAAAAAAGGGATAAAAATGAGGGAAAAAACGGTTTTATACTTAAGATGAACTATTCGCTCACTGAAAGTAATATTTTGGGAAAGAAAGATGCAGAGCTTGAAATGCACCAATAATATTATCGTCGTATATATCCCATGATGCAGAATTGTGAAAATAATGCAGGATTGTGCAAAATCAGATATAGTTTTGAACAAAAATGCCGAAAACTAGTATCTTATGAAGCTATACAGTTCAGCAAATGTGTTAGGTATACCGAAAAGCAAACTGTAAAGGAAGGCTAATTGTGCGTTATTGTACTCATTAATATCAGCGAAACACAAACTTCAACGCCAGAACAGAAGCCCGTTTGTTTTCCTCACAAATAAGCTGGAATATATGTTATTTCTATTAATTTGATGAAATATACTTTAAAATATATATCGACCCTTCTTCCTATTCGAATTGGTCATTACTCCCCCCCCCATCCCTATAAAGATGCACAATTCAGCTTTTTTTTCAAAATTTCTGTGTTTACGGTGAATATTGTGTAATGCACGAGTTTCTCGACTTCACATATTTTCTATTGTATAAAGAACAATAGAACAAAAACAGGTCGGTATATATTTGCAGACCTGTTAAGCGTCGATACGTGATTTACTAGACCGCTTTAAACAAAAGAGCCGGTAGGTAAAGTCAATTATGTATTTATTTCTTTAATTTAAAGTTAAAGGTAATTAACAATGACACCTAACAAGCCACTTTTTAAAGTAAATTGACGATGATTATAGCCCTGGCCAAAAAATAAAATAATCATTTTCAACTACAAATGTCTAAGTTCTAACAAGAGATAACATGTACCTATCGAATGTATGTGAACCAGCAGCTAAAATTAGCATATTCTATCAATTTTTACCATTTTCATACCAAAATGCATGAAATCTTAACACATATTGAAGGCAGTTACAAAAGTAGCTACTGATTTAAATGAAGACTGTTTGATTTACTATGTAAACAGTATAGTTAGCCAAAACAGAATAAAGTACAAAACTTGATAGTAAATTGACTGTGTATTATAAAGATACGATAAATGAATTCAACATGTAATCTAGTACCGTAGTAAAGAAATAAATCCGTAAAATAATTAACTACCATATTTAGTCTAAAAAAAAAGAGTTTTAAAAGATAAACACGTAATTTCTGCCACATAAACATTACCGCTTTTTTTATTCTGTTGTTTTGTATAATTTGGGAAAAACTCGTGTACATAAGATTCAGTATTAAGTTATTATCACCGTGAATAATCCATTACAAAGGAATGTTCCAATAATGCAGGAATCCGTTTTTTGCATTTTTAAAACTTATATGGTATAAAACGTATAACGGTATGATTTAATTATATGTTATCCGACCGAAAAAAAATATATTAGAGAATGTGGCTGATGTGATTTTATTTTCTTACACTTTTGACAACTGTGTTACAGTTTCAATAAAAGTATTTGCTTTTTTAACCATTTGTGAAATGACCAAGAGGAATGATGTGTTCTGACCATAATAAAATAATAACAAAACCAATTAAGATTGTGATAATGTAACCTGAGACATTTGCGAAATATGATACGGAAAGGAAGCAGATTTTATGTTGTTTTTTTTTTCATTTTGTAATACCGACGCACCTAGAAGTTGTTTTCTGTTCGGTTGTTAGGCATTTAGAAATGATCATGAAAAGCAAAATAGTAAAAGTGTAAAATCCAAATGCGCTAATTCTATTTTCTCAATTTAGATTAGTATAAAATAATTTGATTGGTTTACTAATCGTTTTGAATGTTTTTACTCATTTTTGTCCTGGATTTTGCACAAAACTGCATGACGTTTTACACACTCTCACATTAGCCTTAACATTGCAATTTTGGATTTATCTGTCCTCCGCAAGTAAGGCTTATGTGCACGAGCTTTTCGGAAATGCGATCCTTCTTTTGATTTATCTTAAAAAGTAGGTAATTTCATAATAATTTCAGGATGTAAGTATACCTGTGCATGTATACTGTTTGTCAGGAGGAGTCAGGATGGGACCACCGGTCAATATTTATTCAAGACGTCATATATTAGTTAACTTGAACGGAAAGTTAACGTTCCAGGTTATATAATCCCACTTTCCAATAAAAAAGAAGATTGAAGTACTTATTTTAACTACATAGAGAAAAGAAAGAACATGCAGTTTTGGTGAAATGTATTCAGTAAACAAAATAATGCTTGTAATCAAACAACTTTACATATAGGGTTGAAAAGTGAAGTTATAAAACAGTGCAAAATTACTTTGAACAGATGATAACCAAGTTTGTAAAATATTAATAGAAATAATGGAAACTGATACTGAAATAGCACAACGAATAAACAAATGAAAAAGTCATTTAGACAAGCAAGAAAATCTGCTAAAGTTGACATGCAGATGAAAAAGAAAATACAGCTCTATCTACATTTATGAAATAAATTCAACTTTATTTACATTTTTAAAAACTTACTTTGAGTGGTTCTCTAACAATAACAACAACAAATATCTAAAATTAGGGAAAGCGGGTATTCAGCTGAAGAATGCCTGTTGGCTATTGGGACTCACATCTCCACCGACCAGGCTATTCCACGGTATACTTTCATAAAATACAACTGACAGTGTTGTAATCTCAGTGCAGAACAATCACCTATCAGTTATATATACAGTGACAAAGTATGTGTTACAAAAACAAATCTGATCGCATTTACCTTCTTAATTTATGCTAATGATTCGGAATGCCAACAGATATGAGGGGAACAAATAAAAATTTAATTTATTAACAAAATGCCAACACAATATATCTATATTCCTGAAGTTTCATAGATGTTCCTTCTTTTTAAAGGAATAGTTTAAAGTGTTGCCAAAATTCTAATTTCTAACTGTTAAAATCAAAGTCTGCGTCATTATTTATGACACAAATAACGCTGCAAATTTCAACAAACAATACGAAATGATCGTGATGGACTGTCCTCTAAATAGGTTGTGTAAAATTTAGCATGATTATTAAATTAACATACATTTGCAAACAAAGGTGCATTATAATATAACAATATGTTTTTACAACAAAGAAATATAAAACAAAGTGATACTAAACATAATGAAATTCAAACTATACAAAAATGACTAATTCTTTACACAAATTCTCTAACATTAATTGAACAGTTTAAGTTGGGACCTAAGCTATAACATTTGTTATATAAAGTTTGATTACTCAAATCCATATTATAATTATAAATTTAATTTTTCACTCTGAAAATCACAATATGTAATCAAAATAATTCTAAAAAGTAAACTTATTTCATTTCTAAATTCAAATTTCTGAGACTTATAAATAATAATTTAGGTAAGTAAATGAACTATACAAAAGTGATTAATGAGTCATCCCTAATTCTATAAATAGAATATCCTTGAAAGTAGTCTTAAGAAAAAAGTTCCTTTAGAATATGTTCAAAACTCAACAATAAGTACATGAAATGCAATTATATTACAGACACATGATATTTATATTGTGAATATTAAAGACACAAAAACAATTGTCATTTAAACATTTAAATACTTGTAATTTTATGATGAGAATATTCAGATCTTATTGAGGTGAGTAACATTCCTCTCCCTTTCCTTGTTGTCAAGGGAGAGAGAGAATAAAAATGTGTTGAAGCACGTCAATAGATGCGGTATTCCGGTATATATCGGACAAGGCGCTTAAACGACTAATATTGATGCTAAAATCCCGCTTTTCAACGACCGAACTGCACTTTAAGACGCCTAATGTATCTGTTTATAATGTTTTATATACGATAATGAATGAAAAATGTAAATCAGCGTAAAAAGCGATACTTTTCTTTTTTGCGACGGACGCGCCCTCAGGCGCGTTCAGAGCTAAGTCATCTACACATGGGATTTCGTTGGCTACTATCGCGCAATGTGTCCTAAACCAATTAACAGCCCAAGAAATAGTACATGAATTTGATCCTTCAAAACTCCCATACTTTGTCTGGATATCTTAATGTCTTCCATATTAAGCCTTTTCAATTTCAAATTAAGTTATCCAAGTTAAAATATGAACGTATATTATTGATAAAAACGTTGTAGTCCCGTAGTATTATTGCGCAATATGCAAATTACTGCTGAAACGATTTACCGCTGTCGAAAAAGTAGGACAGCAAATTATACTACAATAAAGGTGTAATCTCTGAGTTCCAAGACATTATTAGTAGGAAATAAATATTTCTACATTAAAAAAAAACATTATTATTAACAAATCAAAAGTTTTTCGTGACTCTAGGATAACTCGCGCATTAATAAAAGAAGAACTATTTTCGTGACTCATACCGCGGGTTTAGCTGAATATTCAGCAGTTATTAATATATTAGATACAGTAGAATGGTTAGTATAAATATCTATTTTTGAAAATGCATGTAAGACACTTTACCGCCATGTAGTCTTTCATGGTAAGGAAGTTATAATATCAGTTCTACTTCCGATTCTTGTGGTTTGTTTACATATTTTACTAGGTCATGATATGAGTTAACCTTCGCTATTCTAAAAATAGATTCTGCTTCACCTGTTCTGATTTTTGGACAGGCGATTAGGAAGTACACATTAAACATGTAATTAATAAACCAGCGGATTGTAATGCAATACTTTTAGAAATGCTATACAATTGTAAGAAGCAAACTAGTTGAAAATGGAATTTAGTGTGAAGTTGAAAAGGACAACTAAACACTGTAGTGCTTAAGTGACATTTAAATTAAAATAAAAACGATGTGCTCTGGCCTCTACATCTTTACCTTGTAAATAAAAAAATCTAAGAAATACACTATTAATTGCTGATGATTTTAACCAATTTTTTTTTAATGAGACATATCCAAGAGAAATAAAAATACAAATGACTTATATTTTATTGTCTGTATGCCCACTATGATATAACACGAAGCAATTCTAAATAGCATTCTCAAATGTATAATGTATTATGTTTGAAGTTTATTTGCCTGGATTTATTCTAGAATATTTCGTTGATAGTTTTTTTTTCTATTTACATATCATTTCTTAGAATAAATCGATAAGGACACTGATTTACAAGTTTGACCAGAGTTTTTAGGCATAAATTTCATTCTGTATTTATATAAGTGCTTGAAATCGAAAATCTGAATTATATCAATTTGGGACACAAAATATATTGCTCTACAAATCTCGAACTTGTATGGAACAAATTTTCTTTGTTACATATTTTGTGTTTTGTTTTTTTTTTTTTTTTTTTTTTTTTCTAAAAGAAGCCTTAATGTCTCTCCGGTTGCATGTCCGTCGCATTCAGTGCTGCAGCACTTTGATTTGTGATCATAATGATTTCTGCAAGCGTCCGGATGTACTACTCTGTCAAGGGAAATCTTAAGACTTATTAAGATTACTTCTCTTGATCAAAAGTAAACATATAAAATAAATGATCAATGACATAACCTTAAATTGCAAAATATAACATAATAATTACATAATTCAGCATAATTATATGGACAGATTGGTAAGTTTACCACAGCTGCAATCATGTACAAAACATACACTGAGTCTATCAAATGTATTCGTACTCAAAGTTTTGATTTTTAATTTCGAGTATGTCGTTTGCTCAAAAAAATATGATTGTCGGTAGAGACTGAAACAAAATTAATTTACTAATATGTATAATTTGAATATCGCATTATCAATCTGCCCGTATGATTGGCATAGTTTGTTCCGTTCAACATCGCCTATTTTGAAGTGAAATAAATAAGAACATTAAACAAAACCAGAGATATCTATAAAGGTGGGATTTCGTATAAGATATCTTTATAATTTTCGTCAGTTTGTTTTTCGTTAATATTTTTAAAAACTTGAACTTTCAGTGTTTACTTATCCAATTGCAGTAATTCAAAAATATTCCCATTTGATATAAAAAGACAAAGACCGACATATAGGAGTATACCTGAAAGTTTTATCTTGGCGTGGTATTTTTGTCAAAAGGAAGACAGACATTATAATAGCGAATGACGATTAAATTTGCCCTATGTTTCTATCAATAAATAGGTTTTCTGCCATGATACATGTATTAATTGTTATATCGACCTCGAACCATATTTTTCAGTATGAACAACTTTATGTAGACATCAAAAGAAGTTTGTAGTTGTATATTATTAAACACATTAAAAATTATCACAATCTATTCAAAGTTAAACAATATTTGATTCCAAAAGCTAAAAAGGTAGACCATATTTAAATCACAAGAGTTCATATTCTTAATCAAAAACGATCTCTAATGTCATAAAGGAATCATTGATTTAAATGAACATCACGTGTTCCATATTGATTTCATGGTCATATTCCTTTTTATTTGTTATACCCTTGAGCTACACCTTTTGCCAGAACTGGACCTCCTTCGTGTAAAAGCAAAGCAGGCCATACCACAAAGTCGATGTGCGCCCCACCATATGAGTACGGTTTATATAAATCTGAGTTGAAGTCCGAACACTTTGCATGCACTGGAGCAAATGCAACAGGAGGGTTATTTACCTATAAGAAAAACCCCAAGACATGTGTAGTATTTCAAGTAAACAAAAACAAAGACAATGTTTCATATCTAAATGTTGAATACATAATAAGAATATCGCAGAAACATGTACAAAATATAAATGTTAAAATGACACACACGCCTCCCCTAAAGTTTAAACGGACAGGGGGAATAAACCTCCATTATATAATCACATTGAAACTGATTATGTTATAATATGTATTTATGTATAAAGAAAACGATATACGACAGACAGAAACGCACTGGGATATGGTTAAGGAACACAGAGATAACAATGATAGATTAGTATGTATGAACTGAACGAAGCAATATTAACTGATCTATCAAAATTGAAACTGTTTTTGCATACAAGTCACAGTTACATTGAGATCAGGGGGGGGGGGGGCATAGGTTGTTGACATTGGGGTTGAAACCGTTTTGGCAAACAAGTGCAATGTGACCTTGACCTTTGAGCTCTCGAACCCAATATCAAAAGGGTCATCTATTGCCAAAGACCAGTGCTCCTTTAATTTTAAAGTGGAAAAGGCATATAAATCGTCGAGTCATTGATTGACGGTCAACTTTAATGTGATTTTGACCTTTGACCCTAATACTTCAAAGTTAGGTGTGTCATCAGCTACCAAAGACCAATAAACCTAATTGTGAGGGCCTAGGATTATCGAGTTTTAAGTCGGAAACCGTTTTTACATAGTTACAATGTTTATGTGATCTTGAACTGTGATCCTGCGATCCCAAAATCATTTACTTTCGAAGACAATTGCTTATATGAAGTTTGAGAGTCAACATGCTATTGGTTTTCAAGTTATTGTTAACTGATGGTTGTCTTGTTTTATTGCCATTAAAATATACAAATGTTATTAAAATGGATTGTTCAATGCTTTATTACAATTCTTATCCGTGGTAAATGTGATAAATATTGAAATATATTATTGCAAACCAAGGTAGGAAAAGGAACTTAAATAATTTTGCACAATCATGTAAATAATTTAGTTACTTGTATTTAATAAATATTGAGAAGCTAATTTAAAAATAAAAGAATCTCACCATCATAAACCAGCACAATTCAAGGCATGCAAACGTAAATTCCTTGATTTCAAGAGCTTTCTTCACTGTTTGATCTGTTGATTGACTTAGATAAGAAATAAACATCTGCAAAATATTTAAAAAGTAAGCATTGTGTGATAAGGATTTAAACACGAACGCGTGAAAAAAGAAATAAAAAGTTTAATACTGAAATAACGCGTTTCCAATTAATGGTAATTAGTACGATTTGATTGTGATATTATATGACACGCGTCTCAATTACGAGAAAATGAATGTTTAAAAATTGTGTTTCATAACAGCTAGACCAGTTTGATAGATATTTTAAGTAAATATAGGATTTTAAAGGGTTCTTTCTATAATCACCGATTTTCTTATTGAGTGGTATGAAAATAAAAATAAAAATTCATTAGTGGTGGCAGCCACGAATGAAATATGAAAAGTTTTATCAATTTTTTTGACATAACAATTGCAAACTTTAAGACTTCCCCATTAACTTAATGGAAAGAAAGTAGTCTGATAAGACACAAGTGAAAATACGGAAAATAAAAATACGCATTTCATTTCATCATCAATATTTCTTAATATTTCATTCATAAGTATTAAGTAAATTAGTTCTACGGGATTTACATGTACAAACATAATTCAAAAAAAAAAGTAATGAACAATTACATTAGTATTTCCATGACTCCGCAACCATCTATTATGATTATGTATTACAATGTTTAATTATATTAAATATATCTTATTAGTATTTTCAATGGATAATCTACCTTGCGTAGGTTTTCAACTGCTAATAATGCCATTGTCTGTCTGGTATTCTTTAACTGTTTTTGCACACCATGTGGCAAGTTCGCAGATATCTATGAATTGGATATAATAGATATAAACACTGCCTCAAATGGTGTATATAGTTTCAACATTCCCAACAAAATAAATGTATTTTATTTATTTATTCAAAGCAACCAAAAAACTAAGATTAATAGCAAGTTAAAAATAGTTTGCTTGCTAATACTTCTTTAAAGACTACTGGTGCTTATACTCGTAAATATGAATAGCTCATCTGACAGTTTCAGCATACATACTTGTGTATCTGCAAAAATGATTACTTTCCCTAGTTCCTCAATCTGGAATTGGGCCTTATCTTCACAAAAGGTCATGGTTGCCTAAAAAATTAAATCATTATTTATAATTTTAAGTAACTAAATGTAATTCCCCGACAAAACGAATTGATTAAAGTTAAAGTTTACGAACCCTTATTATTATTATTATATTTTAAGTGCATAACCACTCTTTGAAATTTGAGGTTTCAATCACCAAAAAAGAGTTTTTATTGAGAAATAATTTATGTTTTTGTTTTCATTTTGTACCTATAAAATTTACAAAGTGACATTTAGTTACAAATTAATTATTGATTTAAAAAAAATCAATTTAAATAAATGCGTGTGCATGAAAGAACCTGCCACTCTCACAAACTCAAAAATGATACAACCACAACCAATATCCACGTGTTGGATATCTTATAAAACATCTTTAAATTTTATGAACAAGTTTTAAAAATGTAAGGCACGTTTTATTTCTATAACATTTTGATTTTGACCCATATGGAATTAGGTTACTATCTTGCAATATAAATAATGTAAATTCACTATGTACATTTTATTTTCTACCGAAATTAGAACTTCAGACCTTTAACTTCGTATGGTAAGAAAATATTTCCAAATACCTTTAAGATATGCAATAGAGCTTCGATTACAGCCTCATCATTTGCAAAATATGTTTCAAGAACTTCAAATGCATCCGTCCATTGATTATCATACAGCTCTGCACATTTCTCAGCAAGTTTTGTTGGACGATTCCTGTCGCTTAAATCAGTTATGTTTCGCTCGTTTTCTGTCAAACGGTCCACCATGTCTTGACTTAGTCTTAGAAATAGTAAAGGAATAATTTAAATATAAAACATTAATACATGTGCGGACAAATGTCCCATACTATGGGTAAGAAAATAAAACAGTTAAAATTAAAATAACAAATATATCCTTAATTTATGTAATTTAATTATACCTCTCCTGGTTTCACAATATCATCAGGAGGATAAAGAAAATATAAAGTCATATAGTAATATTGCAATTTACTGTAACACAAACAAAAACATTGCCATTATAAAGCATATAGTTTTCTTAAAACCTATTTCTTAAGTTACGCAGCCCGGGTAAAAGTAAATAAATTCTAGATGGCTGCCAATACGGCCGCCAAAATGTAAAAATATCATACAATGTTCTTTTTCTTGACGTTTTTCTTTACAATGTTGTACAATATAGATGTAATTGCACATTATCAGAACGAATATGTGTAATTTATGAATCAATCAAGCAAAATTGACAATTACATGGCAAACTTAAAAATTATCACTGTCAATTTACCAGACAAGGGCCATGATGGTTTTTTTTATCACTGATTATTGGTGTTCTCGGTTATTATTGTCAGCAAGAATTACAGGCAGATATAATGCAATTACTTTAAACTGATATAACATTCATATCTGAAATAGTGCAATTGTTAGTAAGGCTCTTTTCATATTATGCTTTTTTCTTCTTTTGACCTTCTTTTGACCACAGATGACCTTTATTCAAACCAGAACTGTAAATCATTTAAACAAACTTTCTGACTAATGTCCAGGATACTCGGGCTTCAAGTGTAACCTCTAGAGTGATACGTGTTTCCTTTTAGGTATGCGTGAACTAGATTTTGAGCATGGCTGGCCCATGTTCTAAGCTGAGCTAGAAATCGCCAAACAAATGTTCTGATAAATTTTCCGGATATTTAGGATGAAAATAATACTTGTAGAAGGTTTACAATTTTTGTCCATATTTTAGTATGTGTGGCTTAGTTTTTGATCCCAGATGACACATATTCAACCATGACATATAAGCCATCTTAACAACCTTTCTGATTAATTTCCAGATTATTTGGACCAAAACAGTAGCATCTTAAGTGTTTAAGAGATTTTTCAATATTTAGGCTGTATAGCTTACATTTTTACCTAAGATTACCCATCTAGAAATCATATTTTAACAGCATTTATAATCAATTTCTAGGATATTTGTACCAGGACAGTATCCCTAAAGTGTAAACGAGGTTAGAAGCCATATTTAGGCTGTGTGACCTAGTTTTTGACCCCAGATGGACCATATTTGAAACTGCCCTAGAAATCTTCAGAACAACCTTTCTTCCAGGATATTTGGACTGACACAGTAGTCTCTATAGTGTTTTCCATATCAGGAAACTTACTGCCCCGTCAAGTATTCTTAATATTAATCGATATGTTCGCTAAAGATTATGATAAACATAATAAACACTACTTCACTTTGTCAAACAAACATATAAGGTATATGGTATTGTGTCAATTTTGTCGGCCATATTGTCGGCCATCTTGTATTGTACTTTTGCCAAGGCTGCGTAATTTAAGAAATGGTGTTCAAAAAACTACAAACAATACTTTATAATGGTTTTGTTTCTTTTTGTGATGCATTAAATTGCAATAAAACCCCATCATCTCTTGGACTTATCGATACACAGCAAAGTAATTTGTAAATTTTATCGATTTGTCATTACGTTAAAAGTACGAGCGTATTCCAAATTATACAAATTGTGAGTTATTTTATATGATCGATTAAAAGAAAATAAACTATTTCTTACCTAGTCTTAGTGTCATCGAGCTTAGCTTCAGCGTCGTGTAGTTTTGATTTTGTAAGTTTTAATTGTCTTTTCAGTTCCGCAATCTCAGTTTTCACTGCAGCATCAATTTTGTGTTCTCTTTCAAGAAGGTTTTCTAATGATTCCTGTTTGATTTTTTTCTCTAGACTAATTATTTTAAAGTCCCGCTGTTCAACGTCCTGTGTAAGATCAAATGTCAATTTCTGTTTTGAATTGATGATGTTTCCGACATTTTTCTGAGAGTCATCTTGTTGCTTTTGAATTTGCTGAAGCTGTGCATTAAGTACATCTATTTTGGCATCTCTTTCCTTCACTTTCTTTCCTAATGCTTTTGAGTCTGATTTCATTTTGCCCATTATGTCGTTGATTTCGACAACCATTTCGTCTTTCCTGGCAATTTCATTCTCATAAAACTGTATTTTTTTGTCAAAGACTTTTTTTTCTGTCTGTAGAGTGTTTGCCATGTCAAGAACTTTTGACTCTTTGTTATGAACCAGATGTGTACATTGCTTTAATTTGTCATTTACTATAGATATGTGTTCTTCTCTATTTTTCACAGCATCGCTTTCCAACTCATCAAATACTTTTTCCTTTTTCCTTTTAATTATTTGTTTTCCTTCACCCTTTTTTCTTATTTCATGCTCTTTTTCATTTTTAATCTCCATGTCTTTTATTTGTTCACGAAGGTGATCTATCACTGCACACTGGACTTTAATCTTTTTTTCGTTTGAAGTGATGACTTCATCTTTTTGTTCTATGCATTTCTGTTTTTCCTGAAGGTTTACTCGTAATTGATGCATGTTTCTTTCTGTTTCTTGAATCTCTTTTTCACGTTTTAGATTAATCCCAATAACTTTATCTTGATACTCCTTTGTCTTTATCTCCAAGACAGAAATGTACGATTTTAAACGCGTTTGCTCTTTGGTATGAAGATGGTTGTTTCTCTCTTTGACTCTGACATGTTTTTCAATTTCTTTTTTATGTCTATCTATGAGAAAAGCATTATTTATTTCAAGCTGCTCGACCTTCTCATTAAGCCTCATGTTGTCTTCGAAAATGCCCTCCCGTTTCTTTTCATACGTTAAATTCTGAAGCCTGACTTCCTCTAATTTTAATTCTAAATCTTCTTTATTTTTTGACAGAATTTCCAGTTGGAACTTGTAGTTTTCCAAATCATCTTTAACTTTCCTGACTTTTTCATTGAGGCTTTCGTTCTGATAATTTGAATATAATTTATTGCAAGAGTATAGACGAGTATAAAGCGTAACTATTTATTATTTACTTCACATTCAACTGACATGTGTTTGATATGAAACGTAATACTGCTTTCTTTTTAAAAATGTTACTTAAATCTGCTTTAAAATGTAATGTTTTTTTTTTTGTTTTGTTTTTTTTGTAATAAACAAAGGATTACATAATTAAAAGTTTAAAGCAAGATTAAATAGAATAAACGCCATCCAATGAATGATTTGAATATACTGTTGTATCTCTTGTTAAACACCAGCAATTTTCTAAAATAATGATTGCACGCAATTTATAACAATTTTGAAGTAAAATCTGACCTGTCTGATTTGTTTTCCAACTTCTTTTTTTACATTCTCTGACAAAACGTCTAATTGCGATTGACAATAGTTCTTGGTCTTTTTAATATACAATAAAAGACTAGCTATAGCAAGTGACAGATCCGTCATTTTGCAGTCTGTGTCTGTATTCGCCATTCTTTAATGTATATTTTTTGCTAAAGTGAAGAGTCCAAAATGAAAGAATATTATCAAACGGTAAGATCTTTTTTATCTGAAACAAAGAGACAGTTAAAGGTCAAACTTGAACGATACTCATCCGTTAAAAATATCTTCCGTAACCCATATAACCAATATATAAGGGCTATTCTAAAATATATCCGGGCAATTTGCTTGGCATACACAGCACAAAATCATATTAATTTAGTCAAATGGTCAATGTGAAAACTTTGTAAACATATGACATGAAGTTACGCAGTATTTCAGCAATAGGAAAACATTAACTATCAACAATATCACTTATTGACACAATAAATACACATAAGTAATGTTCTCATTTCAGTTATTTTAACCACTCCTTGCTCTGATAATTAATATAAAAATGTACAAAATAAATAATGTAAATAGTCATGACATGATATAAAAGTAAAACGTATTTTAGAAAAACTCTATGAAGATGATATACAAATGATGTCACACATTGTGTGCAATACAAGGGGTCATCAGTGATGCGTCGCCTCGTGATACCCAATTACATGTTGTAGATACTGCGTAGCAGGATACGCAAAATTATTAACAGGGCAAAACACATTTTTATTCAAGGCCCATTTCTCGCATGAAAATCCTTCAACAAGAAAACCCGTGAAAAATACACAAGTACTTGTGCCAAAGATCAATCCTGTAAAATTCCATTAAAATTGCATTAGTGGTATAAGAGGAATAGTCCGGACAAGTTTTAAAAATTCAAATCATTAATGGGCATTACTCTGACAATAATCATCAAATAGAAAAAATGTTGATGAGATGCACTACTTAACATAGTATTGATTATTCCTGTAAATTTTTTATTAAAATGCACTAGTGTTTGGAGAGTAGTTCAAACAAGTGGCTGGCAACATACAAAACACATTTTTATTGAAGGGCTATAAATCTGCCAAAATCATTTAAGTGGAAAACCTGTGTTATATGCACATGTACTTGACCTACTTATCAATCCTGTAGTGTTTCAATAAAATGGCATTACTAGTATAAGAGGGGTAGTCCAGACAAACTTTAAAATTAAAAATGATTAAAGGGCCATAACTTTGACAAAAATCATTGAAAAAAAAAAAAAAAAAAAAAAAAACGCCGACGATATACACATATATGTACCTATAGCTTAATTAGAAACGACATTCACATTATTAAAAGATACTACAGGTCATAAGATAATTATACAAGACATTGATAATTCAACATAAGACGCACAAATAAGATAAGATAAGATAAGATTAAATAAAATATGGATTAATAAGAATAGAAAAGAAATAACAATAGTGACATGTGTAAAATCAATGATGTGATACGTGTGAATTCAGAGTACTTGTATTAACATCCAGCCCAATGGTCCTATAAGTCAAAATCAAAAAGTATTCATAAGTGTATGATAAATAGTTTTCATTATTACTGCGAAAATGGAATTAAAGTTAGTGTTAATGTATATTATATTATTATAATTATACGAGTTTATATCTTGAGTAATAAATTCAGATTAATACTGTTCTTCCTTTCTCACGTTAGTAGGCCATTTGTTTAGTATAAAAATGATATTAAATTAGAATTATAACGCGTTTCAACTTGCGTTATTACGCCTTTTAGTTCGTGTTGCTACGCCCTTATTCGCGTTACTTCGCCTATTGTTTCGCGTAGTTTCGCCTTTTGATTCGTGTTATAACGCCTTTATTCGTGTTACTACACTTATGTTTGGCGTAATTACGCTTTTTGATTCGCGTTATAACGCCTTTGTTTTGCGTTATAACAAGGAGGCTAACACCATGTGACAACTTGCGATCAGAGCCTTCTTCATGGCCTTTCACGTTTGTTGTATGTGTTTCACTTCACAACCTGAGGATAAGAAACCTCTAAATGGCCTAACACCGCAGGTTGTGTGCGTTTTATTGCACTGTCTTTAGCTATCACAGTGGGTCAAAATGCGATAAGAACCCGCTAAACGGCCTTTCACCGTGGATTTTGCGTGTTTTATTGCATTACCTGAGGCTATCACCGTGGGCCAACTTGCGATTAGAACCCTCTATAAGACATATCACCGTTGGCTGTGTGTATTTTACTGAACTGCCTGAGGCTATATCCGTTGGTCAACTTGCGATAAGAACCCTCTAAAAGGCATATCACTGTGGGTTGTTTGTGTTTTACTGTACTGCCTGGGGCTATGACCGTGGGTCAACTTGCGATAATAACGCTCTAAAGATCTATCACCGTGTGTTGTGTATATTTTAATGCACTGCCTGGGGAAATGACCGTGGGTTGACTTGCGATAAAAACGCTCTTAAAGGCCTATCACATTTGGTTGTGTGTATTTCACTGCACAGGCTGAGGCTATCACCGTGGGTCAACTTGCGATGAGAACTTTTTAAAAGGTTTATCACCGAGGGCTGTGTGTGTTTTACTGCACAGCCTTAGGCTATCACCTTATCAACGCCTTATTGTTATTACATTATGCCTTTTGGTTCATGTTACTACGCCTTTATTCACGTTTCTTCGCCTTTTGTTTCGCGTAATTACGCCTTTTGATTCGCGCAATCATGCCTTTATTCGCGTTACTACACTTTTGTTTGGCGTAATTGCGCCTTTGATTCGCGATATAACGCCTTTGTTTTGCGTTATAACGCAAATAAAGGCGTTACTATAGTCTGTCCCATCAAATTTGAACATCCGATGTTTTATTTAATATGATAGTAAAATCATTTAAATTAATGTTATGTTAACCATGGCGTCAATTTCTCTAGGCATGTTTTTCATTTCTCTTATAAAGTCAGTAATGTGGTCAAAATGTTTAAATTATATTTTTCCCGTTGACTTACGTTGTACAGTAACCTGAGGTGACGTCCATTTCAAAATGGCGGCGCCCATAAAGACGTCATTTAAGGTTCGTCTCACAATTAGCGTGAAAATTTAATGTACTCGATAATTATAAAAAATTGATTATTCTTACTTACTTACTGATAAATAGCTAAATGTTATCATGAGAACAAAGTTGGTGTCAAAAAGGCAATTTTACTAGCAAACCATTATTTAAAAGAATCAAACTCATTTGAAGTGAATATATCAGTAGCCGCTTTATAAATTCTAACACACAAATATTTAATTTATTTCCATGATTTACTGTCGTATTATATATTTTTAAGAGAAAAAGAACAATGAAGTGATAGCGCTTATCTTGAATACCGCACCGCGTCGTAGGGGAGCGGGAACACTTGCTAAAAGGCTATAAAAATTGTTCTTCGCTATTTAATGTTTTATTTACATAATTATGTAGTTGTCTGAATTCTGTCCATTAGTATGTATCACATCTATTAGAAAATAATTAAATTGGCCAGGTTCGGATACAAAAATATGTTACCCTTCTTATTTCGGGTGCGATGTTCGTACGCTAAAACTTTCACATGAAATCGCCAACAAATACTACATTATCATGCAAATCGGACAAGAAATATTTAGAAAGGAAAACTGATTCACTGTACGTTCAGCTTTTGTTTGCTTGTTACCACATTGTGTACTTTAACTAACTCCATCGCCTAACGAGAGAACACAGACTCGCGTTCGAGGAAAATGTAAATTATGCATGTAAGAATATAATATATCATGCTTTCTAGTTTGAGCAATCAAACGTAGGCCTATACACTTTAAGCTCGTAAATACAGATTTAACTTTCCGTCTCACAATTCAACAAAATGTCCTGAAATACCGGCAGTGATTTGATATTATTAAGAACAAGGTTGAAATGGAGCGTTCAATAATCAATAAGCGGCAATAAGTGTTTTTTTGTTTTTGTTTTTTTTTGTAGACTCAAAGTGTTTCATATAATTATTATGTTAATATTAAGGGGAGGAGTCAAAGAGAAACACCGAGTGACGTTCTTAATAATTTTAGCCTTCCTAAATTTTGAAAATATTCAGTGAAAAAACAATAGATCTAGCATATTTTTCGCGGGAGAATAAATACCGCGTAATGTATATTTTGTAGCTAAAAGAGTATATATAGGATTTACAGACGTCTTGAAAAACGACATAATATGTAGAGAAATCATTTCTGAGAAATATATATAACAGTTTTAAAACATAAAATCAAAACGAAAGTCATATGTAATTAATGAAAGAAGTGTTGCACTGTTGCAGATTCATGTCATTAAGAAGTAAAGTGCAATTTCTAGATCTACACCAAGTGACTGTTCTTGTTGCTTATTTTTCTTCTTTTTTTTAAGTTTTCCATCATGCGTCGCAACTAAACTGTTACATCTTGTAGATCTAGCTTTATAAAATAATCATGAAACCACCCCGAGAACCTCATGTATCCTTGAGAAACATGACACGTGCTTTCTCCCGTTCATCTTCAAATGCAGAGTACTTCGGCAATGCTTACGGAAAATAAACGACAGAGATTTACCATAGAGAAATCAAGACACTTCAGAGTAAAATCCGGAAAAATCTCGAGGGTGACTTTTTTTTTAGTTTACAAAAATAGTTAAAGTTTTATTCAACCTCGTTTTGTTAATTCACACCAGGCAAAAGTTCATTTCCATTCTTAATGGGACAGACTATAGTTATAACGTCTTTATTTGCTTAATTACGAATTTTGATTTGCGAAATATCTCATTTATTCGCGTTATTACGCCTTTTGATCCGCATTTTTACGCCTTTTAATTCGTATTATAACGCCTTTATTCGGGTTACTTCGCCTTTATTCGCGTTCTACGCATTTTTTCGCGGTATTACGCCTTTTGATTCGCATAATTACGCCTTTTGATACTCGTAATATCGCATTTATTCACGTCATAACGCCTTTGCATATTTTATTTTTATTTTCTATTTTGTTTGACACTATTAAGCCACCGTGGTATTCGCCGAATAATAAAGGTAATACGATACTAATGTGCGTTGTATAAGTCGGACACGATAACGTTTACATTGATATACTAAAATGGGTTGTTCAAGTTCTTCAATTACAACATTTTGCATAATTATTTTTTTTCAATATAGAAGAATAAACGGTTATAAGACACGCGAAGTCTAGTAGCGTAGCGATTAGAGAGTTCATATTATGTATGTATAAGTAAATGTTCTCAAATAAAATTGTGTGAAAGAAATTCACGGGGAGCAAAAATAAAGTTGGAACAAACAAAACTCTTACAAAGAATAAAAGAAAATTTCCAGGATTCGAACAAGGGTCTCTACACTTACAGAGCGAACACTCTACCACTACACCATTATGCTGAACGCACAGAAAATGAGTGATTGATTAGTTGGTTAAAATAATAGTATGCATTTATGTAAAAATTGATAGATAATTACCCTGTCCTTTTGTTTGAATAACAATATATTTACCCCAGTGAAATTCTTTTAGTAATGCACCAATCGGATTATTTGAATTAGACAGGATAAATTCATATAAGGATCTATCCATTATCGACACCCATATTTGTCAATATTGATAGAAACAGATAATGAAAGACTAGTGAATGCCAGCTGTATAAGGAATGATTATATTTAAAACTCTCAAAATATATCTCAAAATATAAAATAGAACTTACCTTTTAAGATCGAGAGTAACACATATCTTTGTTTATTTTCTTCTCCAGGAATGTTTCTCCATCATGTTCATGTTACAGTTCCTAAGATTTTAAACTTGTTTTTGATAATTCATTGCTGTTGATTTACTTCTTTGTGTACAAAACGACAACTACCATTGAAGTTTATTTATTTCGGAACCGTTGTAAATATAACATGGATCAATGCACTTCAGAAAAGGTAAGTCACGTGTGTATGAATAGTACAGTAAGTAATAGTTACCGTACGAGGAATAGGTCTGCATAGTATTTACATACCCGGGTGGCGATTTGAAGACCGAGAGAGCGTAGCGATCGAGGTCTCTAAAAGGCCACCGGGTCTGTAAATACTATGCAGACCTATTCCGAGTGCAGTAACTATCTTACCTACATGCCCTTTTGTTTTTCTATCCATACATCAGTTTTTAACTCAGTTTTTATTAATATTACTTACAAGAAACACATCATTTATGTACTTTATCATGTTTAAGAAAGCATTCCAAAGCCATGCAAAGATACCATCCGCTACGCTCTTGTAATTCATTCGTTCACAATCAGGTGTTATTTGAATATTCTCGTGTTTCTCGTGGGGTTTCATTATGTAATAAGGTCAGGTAATGTACTTGTTGAGTTGAGTCACAGAAAATTAAAACAGAACTGGTCGAGTAGGCAAAGGTAAGATCATTATTTTGATATATGAAAACATAACATATTAATAATATATACAAATATTAAGGAAGATAAAAAAGTTTTCTTATAATAAAAACGGCACACTTTATTTTCATTTATAATAAATTTCATGGTAATTTGATGATCAGGCTATTTCTAAAATAATTAAAATATACGATTGTTTTCAAAGGAAAGTAGTAAATGAGTAAATATCAGTAATGATACATGTAGATATACCGTCATGTAAGTTGGGTTTTTTGTTGTTTTTTTATGATGGCTGATTTTTAAGTATTCTTAGAATTTCATTCGTGTTTGGAAGAATTTTCATTCGGTGCAGTTGTGGTAATAAATGCCGAAAACTAGTATCTTATGAAGCTATATAGTTCAGCAAATGTGTTAGGTATACCGAAAAGCAAACTATAAAGAAAGGCTAAATGTGCGTTATTGTACTCATTAATATCGGCGAAACACAAACTTCAACGCCAGAACATGTACAGTAGCCAGTTCGTTTTTCTCACAAATAATCGGGAATATATGCTATGAGGGTCCTTACAGCCGTATGCGCTAATTTTATACTATTAATTTAAACAAATGTACTTTAGAATATATATCGACCCTTTTTCCTTCTTCTTCCCCCCCCCCCCCTCTATAAATTTGCACAATTCAGCGTTATTTTCAAAAATTCTGCGTTTACAGTGAATATTGTGTAATGCACGAGTTTTTCGACTTCACATATTTTCTATTGTATAGAGAACAATAGAACAATAACAGGTCGGTATATATTTGCAGACCTGCTAAGCGGTCGGTAAGTGATTTACTAGACCGCTTTTAACAAAAGAGCCGGTAGGTAATACTTATTGACCACAGTCCTTGCAATAACACGTTGTAGTGTAGTGGTAGCGTGCTGTTACTTCAGTCATTCTGGTGCGAGATCAAATCCCAACAGTTCCTTTTAATATTTTTTTTTTTTCAATGCAAGGGTACCACGTGTTTGTCATGCTTATAAATACCATTCCGTTGAGATTTTGTGCTACACATGACACAATAGCTTGCAACAAAAATAATCTATTTTATTACGAGCACGCGATGTTTGGTTGAAGTATATGTTATGGTGCTGTAACAAGGACGTCATCACACTTTTTGTACATGATTTCGTTGGAAACTTGTCATCGCAAATGGTGTTATAAGGTGCGATGTCTATCACCACACCACTGTGTGCTTGAAGATTGGGATTTGCTTTTGACAGATAAAATATTTCTGATGTCCTCCATCGCGTGCGCACGTGATAGATAAAATATTTCTGATGTCCCCCATCGCGTGCGCACATGATAGATAAAATATTTCTGATGTTCCCCCATCGCGTGAGCTCGTGATAGATAAAATATTTCTGATGTCCCCCATCGCGTGCGCACGTGATAGATAAAATATTTCTGATGTCCTCTCTATGCCTACGTAGAAATTAGACAAAATAAATATGTTTACCGTTACGGTATTCATGTGTACATGTATTCAATAAATTTAATAAAAAGATTAGGACGTGACGTATATAAAGATATACATTTTGGATCGATAATCATTCAATTTAAATTTACGTGACCAGGAAGTAATTCGTGTTAAGTTGTTCGTACAGGTTTAATAGCATGGTTAAACGTAAACCCTGACCTATAAAATAAGCAAAGGTTTAACTGACACGTCGAAACTGGTATTAAATGTTCGCGGTATTGTTTCACTAGGCGGGATTCAGTGTGGCCATACCACGTGACATTTACGTCATTTTTGGCATCATTTCCAAGACAAATATTGCTCGATTCGGAAAAGAAAATAGCCGCAAATATTTTATTTCTGTACCAATATCTCTGGGATATGCACCAGTCTACGGGGAAAAATATAAGCTTTCCACAGAATATTGGATCTTCGTCAGTTTATAAGCCGTTTTATCAAACACTTTGCATAACCTTGGAAGTTGCTTGTATTAGAGCGGGCTTCGGTTGCAAGCTATTTCGTTTTCTGGCGTTATTTGGTCTACGCCATGATTAATAGGTCAGGTTTACATCAACCGGGGATACAGACAGCAAAATCCTACCTTAATATGTTTATATGGTTATTATTTATGGCGTAAATCTTGCCATTTTCTTCAATTGTCAATTCTGGCACCAGTTCCAAGTCGAAAAAAAGGGACTACAGTTTAAAGCAGATTTTAGAATCTGTTGCAAATGCAAAGCAACATGCCTACCGTTCTCTTTCTACAATTTACTGTTTCATTGTTGATCTTTCACAAAGAGATTGTGAAAAAACTGATTGTTCCTTAAAGCAATAACACTTACTTGTATCGCAATAGTGCACCGAAAAATAATATTTTGGTTTCGTTTTGAAGATGTTTAAAGTATTGCTCATCTTATCCTATGTAGTAAAATGTGATTTATTCTATTTCACAATGGCGAAATTGATAAGAAATAAATGTGCTCTCAATGAGAGAAAGAGTTAAAATAAAACAATGCTACGGAAAGGGTTACACTATAACGCGAGTGTTGTAAAAAGGCTTAAGGTAATTTTTTCAGTCTATTTTTTGTAAAGAGTAACTGACAAACACTGACACTCGTGAAGGTGACGAATAGGTTCTTCTGTCCTCAAAAGAGAGACTTTGAAAAGGTACATATTTTTCTGGAATTGCCGTATAATAAATTTCTATAAAGTTTGATAAACAAAAATCACAATTTAGAATTAGAATCCTGAATCTAATTGTCACGCGCATTAACATGACGTTCACATTTTATGCTTATTTAACTATAAGCATATTCATCATCAGTCAGATTTTGTTCTTTGTATAGAACAATTCTAAGTAGCATATTACATATAACTTGCAACTTTGCGTGTAAACCTGATAGTATTGTTACTTAGTTGCGCTACTTATGATTCTCTATTTATCAAAAAGGCCCAAAATAGCACTGAGTCGCCAATAAAAAACGTGAATGGATGCCATGTGGAGTAAACAAAGTAGAAAATAGTAAACAGATAAATGATTTTACAAACCAACAGCCATCGATCAAAGTCAAATTTCTTGAAACAAAACATTCTAAAAGTCGGACATAACAATGATTATCAATAATTATATAAATATTTACATTAACATATATGTAATAGCAACACGACTGGGTCCATATATGACACTGATGCGTCCATTGAATTATTGATAGCTAACATAAGCTAAGTAAAATTACGATTACATTTGAAGAGTATATTCCATTTTATTCTTCAACTTTCAAATTACTTATTTCTTTATTCACATATCAGATAATTCATTTATTTGGCATATGCATTATGTTTATCATGTTTTAGATTTTAATATGTGGTCCTTCCTCAAATCTTAAAATGCAACAAAAATCCTGTTGAGGACATCTGCAGGTCATGCAGCGTGCAATAATCCATGCATTTACATCCAATGACCACATCGATAAGAAATAGTCCCAAATAGCCCTATCGTTTTTATTTAGTTGGAAGAGACATTATTGTTAAAAATTCTACTCGATTTAAATGTCTTCAAACCATAAATATTCCGTTCCCTTCCTCTCTTTACAATGTGTATTGGTGAGCTCTCTGATAAAGCTCGATTGACTGATACAATTAAAAAAATTGTCAGATATGTAGTTTATTAACAGAAATAAATGCAATAATAAAATAAATAGTGTTTAGTGTTCTTAAGTGAACGAAGTTATATCCAGTTCACGAAAAACGGTTACCGTGGGTATGAAAACAGGACGTAATATATTTTTTTATCAACGAGTGCCACTGTATTAAAATGCTGAATCTATTATACTTAAACATTGCTACTGGTTTATAACATTATGGTTATACGTATAAATAACTCTTTACAAAAGAATACCCTTTGACTTTGAAACTGCCGCGTTGAGGCATAACGCTTTACAACATAAAAATGGAAGTGATCCTGATTGTGCACGTTCATTGGACATTCTAGCTAAGTCAATTTTGCCGTTTATGGGTTTCTGTTTTCTCTCTATATTGAATACGTTTAGTATTGCTACATGACACATATGATTTTTCATAATCATTACCGTGAAAGAACAATGATTAAAGAGCAAATCAATTTCTTTACAAATACACGTGTACAGACAACAATGTTACGACTTTTAAAAATCACTTATAGCGACGCAAGTAAAAATCATTTAAATATTCATTTGTGTTTATGTAAATCGTACAGTAAATAACAAATGTTTTTATGGTTAACATAATTGTATCATAGTTTGGAGACCTTTCTGTTGAAAATGTGTCAGGGTTAAATCGTATACATATACATGCACAGTGCGTTAACTGGAGTGCGGGTATTAGTTACCCGCACTCCAGAGCATGCCCATTGATTGGCTCATTTTTGCTGGGGTTTACATATTGTGACGGCAGAGAAAGGGAAAGCGACAGAAATGTCATATCCAGATGTTCGTTCATTGGTTCATTTTTGCCGGGGTTTCATATTGTGATACAGGGAACGTGCTTTTATGTTTGACTATGATACAAAAGAGAAAGAACACCAAAACACTCGGCAATCTGATTTATACTCGGGGGCTACGCCCCCTCGTACAAATCAGATAGCCTCGTGTTTCGGTGCTCTTTCTATTACTTATAGAGAGAGAACGGTAGGCATGTTGCTTTGCATTTGCAACAGATTCTAAAATCTGCTTTAAACTGTAGTCCCTTTTTTCGACTTGGAACTGGTGCCAGAATTGACACTTTAGGAAAATGGCAAGATTTACGTTATATATAATAACCATATAAACATATTAAGGTAGGATTTTGCTGTCTGTACCCCGGTTGATGTAAACCTGACCTATTTATCATGGCGTAGACCAAATAACGCCAGAAAACGAAATAGCTTGCAACCGAAGCCCGCTCTAATACAAGCAACTTCCAAGGTTATGCAAAGTGTTTGATAAAACGGCTTATAAACTGACGAAGATCCAATATTCTGTGGAAAGCTTATATTTTTCCCCGTAGACTGGTGCATATCCCAAAGATATTGATACAGAAATAAAATATTTACGGCTATTTTCTTTTCCGAATCGAGCAATATTTGTCTTGGAAATGATGCCAAAAATGACGTCAATGTCACGTGGTATGGCCACACTGGGATTGATATCTAATATTAGAACCTTAAAGTTGAACTATTGAAGTACAACATGACAGTATGGTGGCTTCGTATTATATAGGTACGCATCTGCTTTTGTTTATTTGTTTAATGCGCAGTATCTTAATAAATAAGCACATATTTTGAATCTTGTAATAAAGATACAATTTTACGTCATTCTCATTGTATATATTACAACAGGTTGGTAATATAACGATAATATATATGTACATATACGAGCAAAAGGTGAGTCAATTAGTATATGGTGCATATATATCAAGTTGTTCATGTTACATAACATTTCATCCGGTTGCTCGTTGTGACATTTTAATCACATCACCAAAACGTTATGGTTGCCGTTACCATAAAGGGGAAAACAATTGTTCATAAAAAAGTATCGAACATATATAGGTGTGTTTATTTTAACGATGTTGAATAGCTTAGTGGTAAAATGAAGCCCTTAGACAAATAGATGTGGTTCGAGCCTTTTAAATTCCCAGTTGTGATCCATACTGCGATGCCATACCTTTCCTCCCCACTTTTTAAATCTTTTCAATACACGGCCATTGAAACTGAACAATAATCAGCAAAATAGAATTGGTTAAAGTACCCCTCGACCCCCCCCCCCCCCCCCCCCCCCCCCCCCCCAAACTTGCGGCACAAATATTATTTGCATTTTTTGACATTCTAACCACTGCATTTATAAACGATTAAGTTTTTTTTAATATATATATTCGTATAGTTAATAAAATATATGAGTAAAATAGCAGACTAAAATAGTACTTTCAACAACTGGATAATTTATGCCAATTGGAAGGTTAAAATTAGCGGAAAATACTATACATGTATAGTATTCAAATAACCAGCATCATAACTGTCGTTATATTTATATTATACATCTCTTAAAGAATATAATAAATATGCTTTTTCGTTTGCTTTACTTTGGTCTGATAATGATATTCCCTGAAAAATTACAATTTCATAATACTAATAACTACAATAAATATAAAAACATATTTACATTTTAAATGTTGATTATTTTGAAAACACAATGTCTTTACCCTTGAGCTCTTGTCATCAAATTTGAAATTCGAAATAAAGTACAAATGAAATGTCTTAACAATGAGACGATTAAAACACAGTGTACAGTTTAACCTACATACTAAAAGAAAACTTAACATAATATAAAGATATATTGTAATAATGTTTTATGTAGCACAAACTAACCAAAAACAATTATCTGGCGCATTTGTATAAAATCAAATCGGGTCTTCACAGCATTTCATGATATAGATAAGTAGCAAAATGCATTGGTAATATTTGGTAAATTCTTATGTTCCTATATAGATATTTACTATTTTGCTTTCCGATACAAGCATATCATACATGTACCACCATGGCGTGGATTCTTGTAAATCTGGGTGCATCTGCGAAAGTTAATGAATGCAAGACATTGCATTCCTGAATGATAGAGGTATATGTAAAAATTGGTAATGTTGCGTTTCTTTGTCTACATTTCTTATTAAACACAACCATTTTGTCATGCTTTCCATGTGCTAATGCGGTGCCATTTGACAGTAAAACTACCGGTTCCATAATTGCTTGAAGTTGTTTTGTACATTGCGCCATGACTCATTTATATTAGAATTCGTGCAACAACGTCGCGTGGTCATATTTATATATCGTTTAATGCATACTTTCTTCTTTGTTAATGTTTACCGTCGTGCCTTTTTTGATGCAAGAATAATTGTTATGTTTTACTTTTTGTTTAAATTGGTTTATAAACAGGCGTAGTTGCATGAACTATACAGCTAAAATGCATAAGTTATAATATTTGCTGACTGAAATGCATCCTAATGATATCACCTTATAAGATACTTAAATTAAAATAGAAAATAATGCAAATCTAAACATTCGAATACATGTCACATGACATTTTTAAAAAACTGTGTTAATGACTTTAATTCAAGAATATGAAAATAAGCATAACTATCAAAGTTTTATACAATGACATACAAAAAAAAATGAAAAATGTAACATGAAAAAAAGGAAAACTTTAGAACCTCAGTGTGTTCAATGTGGAAAAGTTATAGTCAAAATTGATATACATGTATGTAAAGACATTCAATAAATAACAAAGAAGGCAAACACAGAGAAATTTGATACAAATTGACCTCTTTTGAGATTTTTGTGCGATTTTGCATTGCAAAAACGATTTTATTCGTTCAATGATATTGTCTGCTTAATACATTTATGAATACATATACATCAAAAAATGTAATTTTACATGTTTCTTTAACACAGCTTGTCAACAGTGATTGACAAAATTTAGTGTAACATGCTTAAACTTACTAATAAGAATTTTGAATTTGAATTAAAACATTTAGCGATAACTTATTCATATACCGTTTAAATGATATTTCACTACTATGAAAGGCATACTAGGCATTCAAGATTTGTCACAAGAAAAAAAGAACAACCAATAAAGACATTTAGAGAAACACAAGGTCTGTCATGTACATGCTTGCATGTATTTACCATTATTCATGTAAATGTTTTTATTATATACTTACAAATGAAATATTGAGAAATATTGATGAAATAAAATGTGTATATTCATTTTCCGTATTTTCACTGTAAAAATTTATTTTTCACTGCAGTGAAACATATTTTCCGTATTTTCACTGGTGTCTTGCCGGACTACTTTCTTTTAATTTCTGCCAGTATACAAAATTTAAGGAAAGTCTTTCAAATTTTAATGTCAAAAAAGAGAAAAATGTATATAATAAACAGAAAATTCAAGTTTTTTCTATAAATACATGAATTATTTTCATATTGTGGCATGAAAATTACCATATTTCACTCGTGGCTACCGCCACTCATTAAATATTTATTTTCATACCACTCGATGAAATTAAATCATGTATTTATAGACAAAACTTGAATATCCTCTATGTATAATCAAGTGGTAATATTTAATATGTATTATAAATATTGTTAGATGTTTTCCTATAAGCATTTTTAATTGAATGCATTTTTCTTGGATTTGTTGATTCCTTGAGCAACACCTTTTGCCAGAATTGGACCACCTTCATGTAATAGCAAAGCAGGCCATACAACATATTCGACGTGTGTCCCACTGCTTGTATACGGTTTGTATAAATCTGAGTTGAAGTGTGTACCCTTTGCAAGCAAGGGAGCAAATGCAACAGGAGGATCATTTACCTATTAGAAAATAGATTATATCAAATAAATATAGAATATATTACATATATTTAGTATGAATCGACAAAACCATTTATGCTTCTATTGATACCAAAAGAGATTATTTTACAAGTTAAATTTCTGCAGTTTAAAGTTAACGAATTTATCAATGCAAAACCGTTGCGTTATACATAATGACAGTAATTTTGATATAATTATGAAGTTGAAACATATCTTGAAAATACATATATACATATTTCTTTGAAGTGAAGTTATTATAACATAATTTATTATTAATAACGTTAAAACAAGAGTAAACAAATCTGGAAACAAAGTGATCCATCGGAAGCATTAATCACAACAAAATTACATGAACATTGCAGACTCGGTTTGATTGAGTCAGTACATGAGGGATAATGAGGAAGTGCAACTTCCCTTATGCCCGCTAGCACCGGCTTGAGCGGTGCTCAATTCTCAGCACTTAATAGTACTTGCATCAATGATCCCAAAGGACCAGAACAAATATAACAACACTAAAGTGAAGCAAGAGGAACTTTTTACAGCTTCCACACGGCAATTGACACCTGCTGGTGTAAAGCATAAAAATCTTATAATAATTTTATCTAAAAATATAAGTCATTTTATGCGTATGACATACCATCATAAACCAGCATAATTCAAGGCATTCAAAAGTGAATTCCTCAATTTCAAGAGCTTTTGTTACTGTTTGATCTGCCGATTGTCTAAGGTATGAAGTAAACATCTGCAAAAAATAAAACAATTATTCTTAGCTGGCTTTATAACAAACGATAAAAAAGGGGCCCGACTATGGAATAAATTGTTACAGTATTTAATACGCGTTATCTAATTTTCAAGTTACATTTACAAAGTAATCTTTAACCTCTAGTCTTGAGGGAGACTCATGACTCATAACTTGCTTGAAGTGCAGATAGTGTTGCATCTTTATCATTGCTGTCATAAAATATAAACAACTTAATTTACTTGCAGAAAAGCGAATTGTTGTATAGGAGCTTTACAACTTTTGATCATGAAAATATTAAGTAACATCTACACACATTTAATCTCTTTTTTAATTTGATATGTCTAAAAAGAACGGAACTTTCAGAAATTGTATTTACTGAAATAATTTGTTAAAATATAAAGCGCTATAACACGCATTTTCAGTTGTTTTAATTATATCTATTAGTTGCATAGTGATTTATTTACATTGCGTAGGTTGTCAAGTGCTGACAACGCCGAGGCTTTTCTTGTGTCCTTTAACTGCTTTTTCACACTGTTTGATACATCATTATTTTCCTGCGCATTAAAAAAGAAAGAAAAAATGAAATGACCGAATTGGTAATTGTGTAATTATTTGGCATGTAAATTTTGTAATACTTTTCAAGATTAAAAGTAATTTTGTAATGATAATTAAACGGAACGATTGCTTATATGTTAAACAATATTAGAATTTGTTATAATATTTTTTTGTTATACAGAATAATATTCTATTTTAAACAAAATATCTGACATTTTAAGATACTTACTTTATTGTCTGCCAATTGCAATGTCTTTTCAAGTTCTTCAAGTTGGTTTTGGGCCGTTTTCTGACAAAAGTTCATGGTTGCCTTGGAAAAATAACAACATTATCTATAACGTTATTTCTTAAATTATCTGTTATATGTTACTTAGTATAAATTATGCATCTAGAACAAAACAAAAGACATAGGAAAAGCTAAAGGTGACGGATATTACAACCTTATTTACCCTAATCGATGTACACGAGTGATCATTAAAACTTATACTTCAACGACTAAGTGATTGTGTTAACACTATATTTTACTTTATTTAGTTAAAAAAGTTATGAAAATACTTTATAAAGTTTAAATCAGTAAAGATATTACATAAGTAGAACACTAACATGTTTCTGTTTAAAGTACATCTTTGTAATAATATACGTATGATAAAAAGATCAATTGTTTAGACAAACAATAAATACATTTTCGTCCCTTTAAACATATTTTTAGTATATTTTAGATATATTTTATAATATGATGACACTTCTTTTAAAGTAAGACTAACAAAAATAAAATACAATGACTTAACTTTCAAAATACAGTACTTTGAAATGGCCAACATTTAATGTTTTTAAACATTTTCTATATCTTATTCTCGTCGCATGAATAAAAAACATTTACTCGTACCTGTAAAATATGCAAAAGAGATTCAATCACGGCCTCATCAGTTGAAAAATACTTTTCCAGAATTTCAAATGCATCTGTCCATTGATTATCATACAATTCTGCACATTTTTCAGCAAGTTTTGTTGGACGATTCCTGTCGCTTAGATCAGTAATGTTGGGATTGTTATCTGTCAAACGGTTCCCCATGGCCTTACTCAGTCTAAGGAATAGAACGTAGCTATACATTCTTTAATTGAATCAAAATGGTCATATAAAGTTTTGATATAAAAACAAAGGAACATGTAAGTATTTCTTAGTTTGCTATTGAGTTATATATGTTTAAAACAATACATGCCTGGTTTATTTAATATAAAGATCATTACAATCTTTGGAAAAACAGATTTACCTTGTCTTTGTGTCATCAAGTTCAGCTTGTGTATCATGTAGTTTTGATAATGTATGATTAAGTTGTTTCTTCAGGTCTCTGATCTCATTTTTCACCGTTGTATCAGTTTTGTTTTCACTGCAATGCATTTTTCCTGGAAAGTCTTGGTCAAGTTTCTTCACAAGACTGCGAACTTTGTCGTCTCGCTGCTGAACTTTTTTCTCAAGATCAAGAACCAATTTCTCCTTTGAACTGATAATGTTTTCGAGAATTTTCTGAGTTTTGTTGTGATGTTCTAAC